TAATTACATAAAAGTCGCACCTATTTTGAATGTCAGAAGCAAACTTTAATTAAATTCAAAAAACTTAACTGCTTTTGCTCACAAGGTCTTACATTCCAGAATGTCTGAAAATCAAGTCACTCAGAGAAATGAAATTAAAAAGAATTTTCAAACTGCATGCGAACGCTACTAGGTTATATTAAAAGATTTTTAATCTCGGTAAAGTCTAACGTGACATTGATGATTTTTTGTATAACTAAAATAAGTTACGTAGAATCGGGTCAAGTTTGTTATAAGTCCTGAATCAATTAAAAGAGTAATGCAAAGTTGTGTCTCAAACAGAGAATGAAATTCTTGAGAAGGTTTTAAAATAGAACACCCCGGCAGAAATTACGAACATAATTTAGCAGTCACAAGAAAATATACATTTCCTCGTAACCAAACTTTGTCTAGACTTCTAACTATACAAACAAGTAAGCATTTATCCCAGCAATTGCAATTGCTTATACTGAATCTAACAAACTATCAAATACGTAGTATAAGGAGGAAGACGTATCGGCAGTACCATTTAGCTCTTTGACTCGAACAAGTTACAAATCTATCTACTAAACTGACTTTGAGAACTAGGTAACACCTGCTTTACTGCATGCAGAGATACATATGAATGTCATGCTCAAATTAACATACACGTCTAGTGCTGTCAAACGCTTAACAGTGGACCAGAAGCTGATTGAATTAAAGCCAGATTGTCGATCAATTGACGCGGATCACGGTTGCAATTTTGGAGAGCTAGTAGCTTCAATGAGATTTACTGCGATTGATACTTGAACTAGTTTTACACTGATTGTGTTATTTGCTTTAGTGTTGTTAAACACATAGTGGATTGTGGGTTTTAGGTCTATTAACGAGGTCGGTTATATTGCCTCTGGAATTTTTATGTGAGCTTTTCTATGCTAGTTTTTCCTTGTCGAACAAAACACTTAAACGGCTTTGATGTAAGGGTTTATCTGTACTTTCAAGGTTATCTATGATTTGCAGCCCCTATTACAACGTTATTGAAATACTGAAATATTCCCTATTCCTCCAAAATGGATGCTATTTTTGTTCTTCTACAAATATCTGAAAAATTTCTAGAAATCTGATATTTATTTCCACACTACACAAAAGTTGATCGAATATTGTATCATGAAAGAGCTTCGTAAGTTTTTTCTTTGCTCCGATCAGGAGAAGTACATTTTAAGTGCCATCACATCGTCATTTGTATTGGAAACTCGATATTGGCTCCCGGCTGGGTTCAGTGGAGCATGACATTAATCTCAAGTTTCGAATAAAAATATTGGGTCATCGCATCGCAAAATAGGAATAGTCTAGTACACCGATGTGCAGTCAGGCAGGTCATGTGAACACAATACAAAACTCAGTCTGCTATCTGATTTGTATGCATGCGATTCAATACTATCTAATGGTATATTAAAAGTGCAGATTGGAATTTAGATGTACCTACTAGACAAGTCAAGACTACAGATAGACTTCCTAAGGGTATTCAGAATTAAAATAATACAGCTAAGCTTAAAATACCGATTTTAGACAATGTTTTGTGAAATCCCATGCAAAAAAAACTCGTTAACTCTACGAACTCCTTCAAAAACAAAGGCTTCATTTTAAAACTTAGCACAATGATCAGGTGTCATAGAACAGTTTACATTAGTCCCTTGTTAGATGAAATAGACGAATCCCCATATGGTGCGATTGTCGGCAAATTGGAAATGCTTGAACCGAACATCCGTAGCACACTGGGTTTAGGAATGGTAATACTGCATAACATACTGCAGTAGATTAATTTATATTATGAGCTAGCATCGTGAAAGCCATTAGCTTAACTGTTAATATTTATGAGAATAACTTAACCACACACCTATTGCATCATGTCGAAGCGCTTTATGATCCTAGACTGGCTATTCATATTTAATTATTTTCAGTTTCTTCAGAATTCAATTTGTGAGTTAAAATAGTTAAACATTTAGACATGGTATCCTTAAGTCTGTTTCATTTTTGTCTTAGGTAATGTAGTATTTTCTCAAACTTGAAACTCATATATACACTACAACATTGGAATTAATTCAATTTCTATAATCTGATACAATTTCATTGACAATACGTTTGTTGTCATAGCAAACTGATTCCGATATAACTTAGCTCGGTTCCTCGTTATTACCGCGTATTGTTCGATATAATCGAATTATTCGTTCCCTCTTCTTATACAATGACGTCATCATGCCCATTTTCCATGCTTTTAATTACTTCTTTGTCTACCTCGCTATTTATAATAGCGTTATCAAATTATACTATATTATTTTCTATTACAAGGAATGTATATCTGAAATTGATCTTGGATTTAAATTTATTCTTACACCCACTTTATAAATTCCTAGGTATTCTTTTTTCATTTGATTACATTACAAAATTTTCAAAGGTTTTCCTTGTCGGGTCAGTATTTATTTTGTTCAATCTTTTCATATGCGCCATTTTGCTTCTAAATGGGAAGCCTGGTTAGGTTTTTTATTTATTCCGCTTATACATAGCGGGGTTCAATATAGCTCTCTATAATTTTCCACGTTTCGTACCCTGACATTAGGTAATCTACAGGTAAATTTTCTTATCATCATCGCACGCATCGTCACTTTTTCTAACGGCTACTAAATAAACAAAATTCGTCACATTATTATATTCATACAAGCCTGGATTAAGGAGATTTGCGGTAGCACATTAGCACGTAACTGAGTATTATCTATGTTTTATCCAAATAAACAGAATTTCCAGAACAGCTCGCCTACAACAATACTGGCAGTGCACAGTTTCTGCATTACCATACGAATGGGCACTGCTGTTTTTGTGATAGGAATTAGTGTAGCAGTGAATAAAGGGAGTTTGCTTCACTGTTTTACAGTTGCATTTGCAATTTTGTTTTAATTATTCAGACGTTTAAGAAAACAAATTTTGTTTAAATAAACTTGTAAGTCTCGAGAAGAAAAAAATTTTAATAAAGCACAAGATTATTGTTTTAGTGTAAATGAATAAGAATTATTATAGGAAGTCAATCATAAAATCAGCCCAATTGAACATACATATATTGTTAGCTGTGATTTGTGAAAAGATCTGTAATTTTCAAAAGTCGGTTGCTACAAGCGACTTTTAAGTAAAATCTGCTAGTCGTCCAAATATAATTTATAAGTGGGTTATTGTTAGCTGTGATTTGTGAAAAGATCTGTAATTTTCAAAAGTCGGTTGCTACAAGCGACTTTTAAGTAAAATCTGCTAGTCGTCCAAATATAATTTATAAGTGGGTTGAAACTTCCACCTTTTAAATTTATTGTTTCCAGATTTTCCGTTGAAATTAGGTTCGAGACGTTTGAACTTTGATCATAAAGGAGTTTTTATTTGGAAAACTAAACTTACTAATTAAGATTCGTTCAACCGTAACGCATAAGTTAGTCTTACGAACTTACAATTATCAGGTATAACATTGCCGTGATTCTCTAAAATCATTGATAATGAAACCTGGAGTCCAGGTAAATGGAATTCATTTCTTACGGGTTCAGTTCAAAGGATCATTCGCTATTAAACTCAATTTGTTCTGAAATACCGTTTGGCTTTTGAAAAGCTAAAAGCATTCCAAGTAGTGTACATATTTAACCACATCATAATGAAACGAGCAATACCAAAGATATTATCGTAACTTCCAGAATAAAATTACACTTGACTAAACACTTACTGAAGCACGTGTATACTTAATAGGTGTCAATTTAAAACACAACTATAAACGAGAAAACTGTATTTGAAATTCCGTCCCGTAAAATTACAGTGTTTTTATATCACGCACTCAATCCCAAACAGATTGGCTTAGCGTTAGTTTTTTCAAAAATGTACGGTCCGTTGAGCAATTAATACGAATTGAGAGCATTTAGTTTTATGTCCCGATTGAAAATCTGAGTAGAATTTGTTGCGGTCTCAGTGCCAGTACATTTGGTGGATTACGGGACTGGCGCAATATCGACATCGGTTGTTGAGGATAAACTAGTCGGCGATCACGGACGTATGCCAAAAGCGGTCGAACGTAAAATGAAAGAGGATCCCAGTGAATCCATGTGTGAAAACAGAAAACATTTTAAATTTTACATTCAGCGTACAAATATCGTGACTGTCTACTGACCAGTCAATCGAATTTGACATAGGTATTAAAATGTTAATAGTGGAATTAAACTAATACTAATTGAAATATTTCATAAATAATATCAGCAACAGATTTTTCTGATGGCTTAAACACTGATATGTTATTGTATTCTCTGTTTATGTGTTGAAACACATGCTTATGATTAATAATTATTATTCAATGGTTTCATAATACGGATTAGCTTTCATTTCCTCTAAAATGTCACCCAATTAATTACATTTCGGTTCAATTATTCATACCTTTGAGACACAATGGTTTTCATTGTATCAAAGCTTTATTCTTGCTAGTAGTTTATTAAGCTGTAGAGTTTGTTTATTTGTTTGAACGCACTAATCTCTAGAAGTACTGATTCGCATTAAACAATCCTTTTTGCGTTTGTTAGTTGATTTATCGAGGAAGGCTACAGGGTATAAAATATCACGCTACAATCTATAGGAAACAAGCAGCGGGGGAACCTAGTATAATATAATTGTATACATTTTTGTGAGGAGAAAATCATCAAATGACTTCTCCCGCCCAGGGCCAGACAGGAGAGTGTCAGACTCTTACTGACTAAAAACCCCCGGTTCCTTCCCCTGCTCTGAGCCGAGGTCGCGGTGCCTCATTGCGCTTACCCCGCAGTGAGGCACCGCAATCAGCCGGGGCTGAATAATTGTATACATATGCTCTATTTGAGGCAAACATTTGTCTTTAATGGAGTATTCATTCCAGGAAATCAGTACTTACTGCTAGGATTCTTATCTGAAATCTATTCTTATACATTTTCTTAATCTAAAATTATTGTTAACAGGCCCTACTCCAGGCGCACGATGTGGTGGCCCGAGAAGTGTACGGCGAGGAGTCTCTGCGGGCGTCACCGCCGCCAGTCAATGGCCGTACCACGGCGCCGCCACCCGAAGACGAGGACGATACAGAGCCCGAGTTCGAGAACGTGACCAGGGTCCGCCTCGTGCAGTTCCAGAAAAACACCGACGAACCCATGGTAGGATTTTTTAAAGTCATACTTTTTTTACCTTATAAGCCAGTGCTTGACTGCAATCTCACCTGATGGTAAGCAGTGATGCAATCGTTGATGGTAAGGCGCACTAGTTTATTGAGAGCCTCGTCACTCAGCCTTGAATACACCTATTCCAATCCTCAGATGTGCGTGGTATAAACGACGAAAGGAAAAAGACTTTTCTGATACATAATTGCATTTCTTTAGAGACATTGTAAACCAAAAGCATCGTCACGGACTATGACTTACAATAATTGGTTTTTTTTTTCAAAATTGCATAAGTATTGAAAATGTCGATCGTGCATTTATATTTTGAGTCGAAAATGTAGAAGAAAAGGTTGTAATACTTGGTTAAAAATATGCCTAATGCTGTAGTCGCGGATTGACTAGCCGTAGTATGTCTTAGCAATAGTGAGCAAACGAATTCAGACTTATGCAATATGCCAATTTAGATCACATTAAAATACTCCTAAAAATAAAAATGACAAGACCACAAAACATAACCGCAACATTGAAACTCGCGAGGGGAAAATGCTAAAATCTAAAACAAAAATACGAAACAAGACCAAAGGTTTCGGCAAAATAAATATTGACTCTCATCTCAAAGCGTGGCACTGAAACCTTGGTTCGCAAACAGTGGATGTCGACTCGGCGCTCTGTATACACAGGTGCGTGAGTTTAATCCTTGCAGATCACTGATCATTGCCTATTCTATGACCCGTACTTACATTACGTATTCTATTTCTGTATTTCTATGTTACTCTGGTACTTAGTCAAGAGCTCTTCGTAGTGTTTACGGTTCTGTAATAATTGATGTCTTAACTGTTACCGTTATGTTCCAAAACCTTTTGATGTTTATTCTGGTATGATGTTCACAACATAGAATAAAAATGACACGTGGATTTTTAATGTCTCTGGGAAGTCTATAATCATATTACTATAATGAGTTTTTGACTTTAAAGTAAAAGACGGTGAAATATAGCTACAATCTAATGTGAAAATCTAGGACGCACAGCTGAAAACGGGATTTAATTTAGTCAATAAATATAATGGTTCTTATTTTGGGCAAGTTAAAAAGGAAAGCGAAAGTAAACATTTTACGGATTTTGTTCGTAAATAAAGTACGTATTATCGCCCACGCAAGTAAAGTTCTGGTCATTTCTACAAAGTTTTAAAATAAGTAGGTATTTCTAACGTCGAAAGTTTTCAAACAAGTTTTCCACCACAATCATTCAATGGTTTCATGAAACACTTACAGTTCATAAAACATAATGATATCGGTATAATTTTTACCGACTATTACTTGATCGTATGCTTTTTTTTGTGAGGGGAAAATCTTCAAATGACTTCTCCGCCCAGGGCCGGACGGGAGGGAGTGTCAGACTCTTACTGACTAAAAACCTCCCTGTTCCTTCTCCTGTTCTGGGCCGAGGTCGCGGTGCCTCATTGCGCTTACCCCGCAACCCCGGCTGATTACTTGATCGTATGCTAATATTTCAAATTTGTATTAAGCTATTAACCAAATCTGTTTATAGGGCATCACACTAAAATTAGCTGACGACGGACGATGCATCGTAGCCCGCATCATGCACGGAGGGATGATACACAGACAGGCGACTTTACATGTCGGCGATGAGATAAAAGAGATCAACGGGACGCCCGTCGCCAACCAGTCCGTAGCTCAACTGCAGAGAATGCTGGTACGTGACAAATCTTTGTTTGCTCTCTTCCATATTCTGAATATAGATTCGTATTTTAATATTTCAATAAATAGTACCTAGTAATTGGACTAATATTAGCTCCCTTGACGGAATGGGAGCCTCCTTACAACAATTGATTAACGTTCATAAAGTCTATGTAGATATCCTTTTCAAAACAGGTAAGTGGATACTTCAGCGACTATCATAATATCGGCGATATAAACAATGTACACTTTACTTTCAATTTATTGGAAACAAATAAACGTTACAGCGAGAAGCTCGTGGATCGGTGACATTTAAGATCGTGCCCTCATATCGCTCAGCGCCGCCACCCTGCGAGGTAACTCAACTTTATATTATCTTACACAACGCTTACAAGGATTTGAGGACAGCCTTTAGTAATACCCTGGATTTTTCTCAGTGTGAATTAAAAACAGTAGACGTAGCAGAGTTTGTATTTAACACTAGTTTGAACTAAAAGTCAATAAAAATATACATAAATATTGTTTTGAAATTAACACAATAGATAGTAGTGTGACTCTAACGCTTGTTTATACACTAAAATATAGCGAAAAGTCGACAAGCGCACACAAATTCTTCACAAACAATGCTTGTCTTGGAGCATAAAACAATTGGTATTAAAATAGAAGACATTAAAATTCTGTATTTTTGTTCTAACTAGCTTTTCCGGATAAAGCCTTCGCCCGTGCTAGTAAGTAGCGAGACCAGACCCGTTGCTACTTTGTGATATGTTTACTGTTTATGTTGGTCGTTTTATGTTGTCTTATGTTTTGTTTATGTATTGTCACCTGGGCATGGCTGCGCGTCCCCGCGATCTCCTCCGTTTCTGTGCGCTTGTTGTTCTTTTGTCATAGCTCCACTTTCATCGCACCTCACATCACCCTCTCACCCTCCATTTCCCTCATTCTGTTCGTTTTATTTTGCATTCTGTTTCTAAACCTACTAAATTACCTGCTACTAAATTGGCATTCTTATTATACCATTACCGACCAATGTTTCATGCTCACTAATACCCATTTTTGCCTACAAACCCCCGTTTATCAAAATCAATCATTTTTATTGTCATTCTGTTTCCCCAACAAATAAGAAAGTTGCTTATTTATTTTTAACTTTCCAGATTTTCGTGAGAGCGCAATTTGATTACGATCCATTAGAAGATGAATTGATTCCGTGCGCTCAGGCTGGCATCGCTTTCAATACCGGTGATATTCTGCAGGTACATTTTAGAATTAAACAAAATCAATAATTCGTTCTTACTAAAATAATACCTATTACATATTTTGTAATAAAAGTGAACAAAAGTTTAAATGAAATTTCGTCACGTTTCAGATCATCAGCAAAGATGATTCCCACTGGTGGCAAGCTCGTAAAGACGCGTCTGGTGGTTCAGCTGGTCTCATTCCTAGCCCTGAACTCCAAGAATGGAGAGCAGCATGCGCTGCCGCAGAAAGATCCAACACCGATCAAGGTAATGCAGGTACAATAGACACAACACAAAAGGTTCAACAATATCTGTTTCTCAGGCATAAGGAAGACAAGATTCTTGAAAAATATTAGGTGCTTTAAATGTTAGACGTGTTTCATTTACTGTTTTATTCTTATTTTCATTTGGATGGTCAGCATCTAAAAGTATTTCATCATCCATGAAAATCGGTGTGTCGTTGTGTTTAGTTTATGCAACGTTGTGTATAGCAGTTTTTATTTTACCGTCAACGTTAGTACTTTGTCAAGATTATCGTCGTTCCGGTAATTTGCTATGTTTGTCTTAGATTCATTGAATGTCGCATCTTTATAAATGTCGTATCAATGTGATTTTCTAATAGATTCTTAATTCAAAATGGTTACTGGTATATCATGACTCAAAATTGACTTTGAACGATTGAATATTCAACCGAATTGGCAGATGTATTGAAGATACGGAATTACAGTAACCGTTAAACAATGTTCGTACATCTAACATCTGTCTCTCTTCCTCTTTTTGTTTAACGTGAACAGTCAAATTTGTACCTTATTCCGAAGTGATAAATAGCTTTATATTAATGACATTATCTACCTTAACTTACATTAATTTCGTGTTATGCTTTCGATTTCATCATTGGACGAAGCAGTCGGTATGTAAAAATGCTTTTTCTTCCTGTTTTTTGTTTATGAGTGATACAAGCTCCCGTGTACCGTAATAAGCTAAGGAAAATGTACCTATACTAAGTTCTGCATGGTACAGAGCCAGGATTCCTACTGATGTAGAATCGTTGCTAATCTTGTATCCCTTGTTCTGCTAATCACAATCTATTGTTACGTCCATTCCAATCAGTCGTATGAATGGTCTTTGTAGAACAATGAAAACTTATATAAAATGTCTTCTTATTATATAATTTGTATTTAACCAAGGGAGTTTGTGTAACCCTGTTACCGTATTGTCATTTTTTGGAGATGTTTTGTCAAAAGTGTTATTTTGCTTATCAAACCTTTTATGAACAGTCTCGAATACTCCATGTGTTTGGAGTAATAGTTCTTTTTAATTTGATAGAATTTTCTTCGATCAAAATACGACTGTAAATAATTTTGATTTTAGAAATAAAGTCCTTACTGATAACAAGAACCATTATAATAATAATAATATTGTAACCCACAATTGAGATTCATTTTCGCAATTTGCATAGCGGTTACGATCAAAGTTTAATTGTAGTAACTGGTTAAAACACGGCATTTAATTCTGATAAGAAAAGTCTGTAATGAGGTAGAATTAAGCACATTTTATACTAATATAAACTTAAATACTATTTTCGTGCCGTGTACGAGTAGTTGAATGGTCCGTGTTTTTCTCTGCAAGAGGTGTATTGTTACTTTTTTTGATTTTGTCGCTGAACAAACTCAATCTTCCAATGCGATCAGTTTTGATCAAGGGTATCTGGACTCTTCAGAAAAAAAAGTTGTCATTCTGTCATAACCGTTCGTTTCAAAAAAAAATCTGAGATTCAATCAGCTCAATAATCAGTCTTGGATCTTTCTATATCTGCATTAAGAAATAGACCACTCCTGCAATCAAAACGAGTCTTTAAAACTAAAACTATAAAGTTCAAAGTACTAAAAATAGACTTTTGACAAAACATTCCCCCTGCGTGTAACCCGAATCGTGTAGATCCGTTTCCATCCGTTCCGTTTGCATGAACCGTGTTGTAATGTTGTGCGGCTAGGAGCGGAGGGGTGCGTGTCCCATACCGACGGTTGTGAGAATACAGGTACAATGTCCATAGTCTAATTAGTTTAGCGGCCATATTGCATTTATTTGCTTTTAACGAAAGTCTAGGCACTGTTAGAGATTTTTTTCTTTTAAGTCAACCATAATAATAAGGTCGGTTAAGTTATTTCACTTTATTTATTTGCGTAGTATGCTAACAATAAGTACTTAATAGTTTGAATCATGAGGAACGAAGCCATACAGTTGATTTTAGTCAATTGTAAAAAAAGATTAAGGAACGAGGACTGAAGTTCATTAAGTTTTTAAAATGTGTCCTACGACTAGGAGAGGTGACCATCCCGGGATTTTGCGCGTGCAAAAGTGCGTTGCCGACCTTTTAGGGATTAGGGATTTGGAGATATAGGGATTGAGGAGGGATTGGGGAAGGGGAAGGATTGGGCCTCCAATACAGCCCAACATTTGGGATACAGCCCAACATTTGTTGCGGTTTCTATGAATGTATCTTCGTTTGCAAATTTCACTTGTCGTGTAGGATTTGACGTTATCTGTTATTTTGACTGTCATTTTTCTATGTGCATCACTACTAAAGCATATGGGATAAGTAAAGTGAAATAACAGTTTAAAACAAACAAGTTCCAAACAACAACACATATTAATAAAAAAAAAAAATATGGCAGATTTTAAGCTTTTTAGAATTTTTACTAAGTATGTGTATATTATGACTTTGAAAGCAAATCGATATCCAAAACTCCCATTTTGTATATCGACTTGTTGCGAAGTTTTGTAAAACTCTGTGTACCTGTTTAGTTTCGCATTTTTTCTGCCTAAAGCTTTAGTTTTATTTCGAATGTTTGTTGTTTAGCTGTAGATTTGATTTAGATGCTGTTGATCAGAAATTGTTTTGTTAATGGCTAAATATAGTTACATGCAACTAAAAATACAGACTTGACTGACATGTGTCATTTTTGACATCTGTCAAAACAAAAAAGGCGGACCCTTAAAAAACCTTTTGCTGATGAGATGTAAATTAAGTGCTTGTTATGAAAGCACCTTCTTGTTTATAATTTTAAATGATCTGTTCATTTTAACTAAATTATAATTATAAGTTGAATCACGAAACACACACTTGCTTTTAAAAAGTCTTTAAACGATAATGCTTATAGAGAAGGCACATGATGCTGTTTGTCTTTTTATTAAATCATGCATGTATACAAAAATAAATTACAGTTTCGTAAAAAGCACCGATAACAAAAAAACCACGAAAGCATGTTATAAAAGAAATTATTTAAAAAAAGATACTTAATTGGCTTTAAACATTTTTATGTTGCAACACCAAAATTTTTTCAGTTACACGTATTAATGTTTGTTTTTGTTTAATTTTGTTTCAGTGAACTGTTCCATATTTGGACGAAAGAAAAAGCAGTCCAAAGACAAATATCTAGCGAAACACAACGCTGTGTTTGACCAACTCGACGTTGTTACTTATGAAGAAGTTGTAAAGTTGCCATGTAAGTGTTTCAAAATCAAAGCATAGTTTTTAAATAAAACAGTGAACGGAAGCAGGCGAATGATGATGAATGTAATCCAACGCCATTAATATTCACGATAATGTGTAAAGTTAATGAATCTAGACAATAAATTAGATTAAAAATACTTTTTTGTAATTGGAAAATCATCAAATGACCGCCAAGGTGGGCGGAAAGGAGTGTCAGGCTCTTACTGACTAGATACCGTTCCTTCTCCTGCTCTTGGCCGAGGCCACTGTGCCTTATTGCGCTTGCCCCGCGACCCCAGCTGCACATCAGCCATATAGTGCCTCGTCTGCAGTGGTCTATTGGAGATTAAAAACTTTATTCTACAATTTACAGCGTTCCAAAGAAAGACTATCGTCTTGTTGGGCGCCCATGGTGTTGGTCGACGACACATAAAGAATACTCTCATTGCGCGACACCCGGACCAATATGCTTATCCTATACCTCGTAAGTATCTTCAAGTCTTTAAGACTCAGTTTAGTAAATAGGTGTAGTTAAGTTTAGTGCCGATTTAATTAGTAGTGTTTGTACGCAAACAGAAGAAAGTTGGGCTTGGTAGCGAGGTCTGTGTTACAACATTTTCATTTTTCAGATACTACGAGACCACCGCGAACCGATGAAGAAAACGGCCGGCACTATTACTTCGTTACCCACGAAGAAATGATGGCTGATATTGCGGCTAACGAATATTTGGAATATGGTTAGGAGTCATACATTTTTAACTAAACCTTATAGACAGTGCGTAAGTCACAGTATATCCTAGAGCTAACTGAGTATAACATGGGTAATCGATGTATTCCCATTAAGTAACATTCTTGTCGAGATTTTAAATATATTTGAGGCGAAATACACTCCATACCAAGATAGAACATCGATAGAAAGGTAATGCACAACCGGAGTAGGTTGAGATTTAATTAACATTTTACAATACCTTGCAAAACTATCAGCAGTCGATTAAAGCAATGACATATAAATATAATTTAAAATAAAGGGACAACTCTATATTAAATCTGTATTTTCTAAATCAGGTACTCACGAAGACGCGATGTATGGCACCAAGTTGGAGACAATTCGTCGTATACATTCTGAGCGTCGCATTGCCATATTGGACGTGGAACCGCAGGCTCTGAAGATTTTGCGCACTGCAGAGTTTGCGCCCTACGTGGTCTTTATAGCCGCGCCTCCGCTCAATAATGTTGCTGATGTAAGTATCTGCTTAAATGAAAAAGCCACTGTAGAATATTCCTTAAATAAAAAAGAGCAAAAAAGTTTTCAAATATTGCACAACATCTTTGCGCATATTGCGCAAAAGTCATGCGCAAAAGTCATGCGCAAAAAATTGATTTTATTGAATAACTAAAATAACTAATAATGTTACTTAAATATTTTGCGTTTTGAATGTCTATTTATTTATGATATTATGAATGGTGATGAAACGGGAAGGAATATTATGACAAATTAGGTTTAATAACTGGATTTGTCAGTTTAAACGAATATTTGTCGAAGTCGAAGTTAATTCGAAAAGAATTTAAGACAATGCCCGTTGTGAAGCTTTTAATACCTTCAAAACGTTATGAGTTTCATGTATACCAATTTTTGAATTATGTTTACAAAATACTAATTATTTTATCATTTTCTTTTCCAGTACGACGGCTCCCTAGAAGTGTTAGTCCGCGAATCAGAACAGCTCCGCCGTACCTACGGTCACTATTTCGACTTGACGATCGTCAACAATGACATCGATGACACTCTCTCTCAACTGGAGTCGGCCCTTGTACGACTTCGATCCACGCCCCAATGGGTCCCAGTTTCATGGGTCTACTGACAATCTGACGACGAATCTCCGTAAGATCAACTAAGGAATACTGGACTTTTGATCAGTTTCAGACTCATTTTCTTACTAATCTGTTTTTATTACGGATTGACTCTTGGGCTTCCTAAAGGAATCTTCTTCTGAACAATTTATCCTTAAGAATGTTAAGTCTTTTATTCAATTCACATTTAAAGATTTTTGAATGACATTTCTATAGTATAGTATAAGATTCGATTTTGATTCTAAAATGCACTGATATCGTTACCAATAAAGTCCATATTCCTTAATCTTACTCTGATGAATGTACTAAACTTTTGAACCAAAGACCACTTTGAATTGACACCAAAATATCACAAACGACGCGAAGGTCGCTCTGGCCTTTTAGACTATAAAAATTAGAACACGTAATATGTTCCATTAAGTCTATCTGATAATTAATTATTTAATTTCACATCACTACTTCACAGACATGCGACACTAGTATGAGTACGTTGCTATCCTATTTTGAATAGAGCAATATCTTACTAATAAGAAAAATTAACATTCTCGATTATTTACTGTGGCTACACAGATTATAGCTCAATGGATCTGAATTATCTCCAATAAGCATCTAGCGGAAATAATCGTGCATATCTTTGGTATTGCCAGATTAGCCTCCGCTTGGGTTGCCATTATTTTAATGGAGTAATTTAGATCAACTTAAAAAAGACTTACAAAGTAAGCTTAAATGTCACAAAAGAGTTGACAACTCTGCGCTTGTTACTTTAATAAAGATATTATCTGCAATTTTATTAAAAGACCTCAGTTTATATTGTTTACTTAAATCAAGTATTAATTTCAATAATTGTGATAGATATTATTGTTTAAATTAAGTACTCTTAATATACTACACAGTATACTTTATTACGAGAAACACAAAGTCTAATATTGCGCTTGCATTGTTGATTTGGTGCATGTTAGCTCAATTTTACTATTACGTGCCAAATATAATACAACTTGAACATTTTCGAGAATATTCGATCACCTGCACATGACACACCACGATTTTTGGAACCATGTACATAAATAATATATACATTAGTACATAATCTATATTAACGAAAAAAAAAACTAATTCCTTAGAAATGTACCGTAGCTCAAAATGTTTACTTCGACATTTAAACTTAAGATCTATTCTACCTTTAGTAAACTATTGTAAAATCTTGTCGTTTTCCAACTAAAGAAATTGTATTTAATTGCACTGGGTGATAGTTTAAAATAATCGTCTAAATGGCAATGCAAATGGTAAAAAAATCGACTAAAAATTTTAGAATTAGCACATCGCTTTTATTGTACCAGAATTGTAAATAAAAAGCGATTCTATAAATGCGTTATAAAAAGTACAAAATAGACCCTGTACAATTCCCATTCAAAATAGAGCGATTAATTGCCAGAGATAAAAATAATTATTTTGCTAAATGACTTAGAACTTTCTAGATTTTGTCACCAGCCATATTGAGACGCGCGAACTATCCAACACAGTGTCCCTGTATTCGTTAGTTGGAAACCGGTCTTTTGACTATATCACAGGATTTAGAATTCACAGGGTTGCAAGAATCATTAATTAATAGTCGATTTTGTTTTTCATTAATAATTTGTACTTTATTTTTTTTTTGTATTCGTACTTATTGCTTTTATTGTAAGCGTTTCTTGCGATTGCTCTTAAAGTAAGTGTTTGGTTTTAAATGGTGCCATAGAAATATTTCTAACAATGGATTGAAGCTATAGAGTTATTCTCACCATGTTATACATTATAGTAATCGATCCAAAATGTTGGTTGGAATGTAATATAATATTGATAAACAACGTTCCATATTCTATTAAAGTGCCGGTCAGTTAGTTATAGCGCTCGAGTAGGATAATAATATGGGCTGTTCGCCCAAAAACGTCTATGGCGCCATCTATGAATAATTTTCTATAGATTTTCATTAGACACCAATGTTTTATCTATATTCTTCACAAATTTGATAGTGGTGACATTGTTAAAAAATCCTAAACTGAGCAATTATAAAGGATATGATGTTAACGCCACGTCAAAATGCATACTTCGTTTAATTTTTCTTCATGGCTGCACTAATACATTCCTGTATATAACTATAATGAACGAGTAGTGAAATTTTACTATATAACTCTCACTGTTTCACTAATTTTACTTTTAAAATATAATTAGGCTAACTAGGGTTCGTTGTAAGGGTTGATTATTATTATTATTTTCGAATTATATTTAAGTTTTACCTTTGTTTTGTTTATGGAATGACAAGTATGGAAAATGCTCAAAAATGCAATTTATTAAAACAAATATGCAAGTAAATAAATGCAGTAAAATATTTGATGATGTCTTCAAACTCTATGTACTTGGCACTTCATAAATATTAAGTTTTTTTTTACTAATATTTGAGTTTTTATACAAAAATGTAAAAAAATATAGGATTTGATTTTTTCTAACAAGTTTGTTATTAGAGTATTATGAACTGAAAATTTCGTTTCATATTTTTACAATATTGTTGCTATTTATACGTGTTTTTTTATTTTGTTTTCGTTATTTTACCTAATGTAAGATAATCAATAGTAAAATGAACGTAGATAAATTAATCATACAATATTGAATTTAAATAGTTATTATCTATGGTAAGGAGGAGATAATGCGAAGAAACGCAAACGGCGAGTAGCACTATTGTCTATGTTTTGTTAAAATATTTAATGTTGCCAGTTAAAATGTTACAATTATTTACCTATAATACATTTTATAGACAAAATTACGTTGCTATTAAAATTTAAATTTTATTAACCATATTTATGAGTTTTAAATTGATTTTTCTTATAATTAAAAGTATATTATGTAATTCGATGAATGACGCGTGCGAAATATAGAGATTTGTTAGCTAAAGTCATATATAATTAATATTATACACGTTTCATTTGAAATATTTATCGTGATAGTATTAGAATCCAATACACACCTTCTTTGAAAGAAATGTGTGACGAAATAAATGTAAAATCTGACATTAATTGGTTGGGACGATATGCGGCATAGAAAATATGCAACTCGCAGCAAGAAAGACGTTATTGAAACGTCCCATTTCACATAAAAATTATTTAAGTACTGAAATATAAAAAACTAAAATTTATTTACTAGTACTCAAGTTATTGTTTAAAAAAATATACATTGTTGTTTTTCTATGATGATAATAAAATGCTTTACGATTGATTATTAAGTAAATAAAATAGTGAATTTATTTAATTTTCTTCTCTATTTAGTGGCTAGTGCTGCTCTTGATTGAATGAGTGTTCGAGATGATATCTCACAATATTATAATAGTAATATTATAATTGTAATTATTAATATATTTATCAATGATCAATTTTAATGTTAAAATACATCACAACAAGCAACACCTGATCCCTAAACATTCCATTTATTTTTGTTCATGTTTATCATAAATTATTGTAATTATAAAATTATTATTATTATTGTCACTAAATGTTATTGATTTTTATTACGATTGTGATTATTAGTTTAGGTGTGTTATTTTGTTAAATAAGTCATCTTTTTCTGTACTTATATCAGTTATAGCACTAGGTATCCAAAGGGTTAATTTTCTGTGGTTTTATGTTAAAACTTATGTCATATAATACATCAACAGTTAATGTATACCAACAGTAGTTTAATCGTAATTGAAGTTTAAATGTAAAATCACATGAAATGAACGAAACTTAAACTATAGATAAATGTAATATCTACCTACTAATTTAATTCTTAAACTGAATGTTTGATTCAAGTCGATCCTTGTCTAAATGTTATTTCAACGGTCACATCGACTTGGAACACACAAACTATAAATTACAGAAATCGATGTTCATGTACCGGTATGAAAACAAAAACCTAGAAGAAAACTGACGAAAAGTGGTTTTATCTGATTCAAATAAAGATGACTGAAGTAAAATCTTATTATAATAACTGTTAACAATTGAATAAACGGCACAAAATATTTGTTTGTTTTATTTTTAGTCTTTCTCTTAACCCTTTGAGCATTATTGTTACATATACGTGTTACGTGAAAACTTTCCCTGGACAAAGTCGTGACAGATAAAGCGGTACTTATACAGAAACTAGAAGCTGTATTCTTGTTTATTTATTTTGAACGTAACGTATCAAATAACATAATAGATATTGTGTTATTTAAAAAAAAACTAGGTAATTGTGAAAAAAGAATGTTCTCACACGCCACTGTCACAAATATGTGACCGCCAGTGATGTAGCGCATGTTAGATAATATCCAAAATGTACACATCAAAGACCGTTCTTTAACTCTTCTCTGGACTGTATTATTTTAGACATACATTGTTTCAAGGATAAAACAGCATTATTTTTATAGAATTAGTCTAAAAACTTTTAAATAGCTAGATTCTCTAAAATTGGTTTGATCGAATTTCGGTATTCGCTTATCTTGACACCGGCGCATCCCTTACTCAACCCCAATGTTATTATCAGTGTGCCTTGTACACCAGTTGTCTGCTTCATGCAAGTACGCCATGGTCACAAATAGATGACAACATCGTGACGTGACAATTGTCAGTGATCAGAAATTACGCAGTGAAGAAAATAAAATAAACAAAATCGAAATATTTATTGCCAGATTGTCAAAAGTTCTTCCGTTGTCATTCAATTCGGTCTCATTGTAATAATCAGTCACTTATTTTTAAGATTTATTTTACGATTCTTAATAAAGACGTGTTATTGTCAAACATAGCAGTTTGTTGCGCGATACAAAACAAATTCGCGTTTTCATCACGTCTGTATCGCTGCAGACCAACGGTAAAAGTGAAGTGCATAGGCTCTTAACTGTTCGAATATTCGGAATTATAAAGAAGAACCTAATTTAAAATCTTTGTTTTATTCATTTTAATATATCATTGTGCAAGAAAACATCAATTATCGAGATATTACATTGCTACATCCCTATTTCAGAAGGAAATTTTAAGTAGGTACACATAAAAATGGCGGCCGTCCACGCCATGGTCACAAATAGAAGACAGCAGATAAAACATATTGTTGTGCTATAGTTTGTTCTAATTCTCGTAACTTTTATGACCGTGTTTTAACAACTCTGTAAATAATTATTCTATTGCAATAATACCTAATTTTGAATTTAATTTCAATGTTTTTAATATCGAAAATCAAAATATAGGTAATTGAATAAGTAGTATTAAAGTCCCTGTTTCTTTTTTACGAATATGTAGTCGGGGTGGGTCGGTTACAGTGAAAAGTCTTGTTACGCGGCATAAACTTTAATAAAACTATATAAAAATTACAAGAGACACGCACAAAACTGTAAAGTCCGCCATAACTCTTCTAATAATCCCCCGGCCAATCAGCGGCCAGTAACATAACGCCACTTGGCGCGTATTTTAAAATCTATCGCGCTGGCGAATAGCGGTCGGGCGGCTTGCCCCTATTGGACCGCTTACGACCAGGGCTAAGGAGACGTTCGGAAACGTTATCCGCTATACACTCCCCCTCGGGTTCATGCAGGCGTCCTCGCGCAGGAACCCGCTCCTGATCGGCAGAAACAGGCTTGACATGACGAGGCCGGCCTCGACTACGTTTCGGCATAATTGGTAGAGGCGGGCTATCGTCCCTATTAACAAATTGCGTAAGCTGGGAAGCATGGAACCTGCCCAAGATCTCGTCGGGAGAATCAATTTCAGATAACACGTAAGTCGTAGGGCTAGCTTTCTTAACTACCTTATAAGGACCATCCCTTTTCGGTACAAACATAGCCGATACTCCTTTAGCAGCGTTACTCAATACGTGCGACTTTAACAAAACTTGATCACCGACATCAAATTCTGCAGGCTTACGACCCTTATCTGCGTAATCTTTACGTCTATCCTGTTCTTTTTCTACCTTATCCCTAATAGAAACCAAAGAGTCCAAAAATCTCTTAAGATAGGGCGTTATTTGTGGAACAAAGTTATCCTTCTTAAGGACGGCCCTAATATCATAATGAACATCAACTGGTGAACGAAGTTCCCTAGCTAAGGTGAGAAAAGCTGGTGAAACACCTGTGGTCTGACACAAGGCGGAGTTCATGGCAAAACGAACCGATGGTAAGTGGTTGGGCCACGAAGAATGCTCGGTGTCAACCAACTGAGCTAGCTGCACCTTTAAATCCCTGTTCTTGCGTTCTGCCGGGTTTGCCTCCGGATGATATAAAGGTAACAAGTCCTGATCAATATTTAAAATATACATGCACTGTTGCATTACGGAAGAGACAAATTGTACCCCATTATCCGAGATAATGCGGCGCGGTAGGCCGTACCTTAGGAAATATTCCTCAATTAGCGTCCGTGCACAGACTTCTGAGGTGGCGTCAACTAGAGCAAAAAGCTCGACCCACCAAGTAGCCGTGTCCTCAACTAACAAAATGTACTTCTCCCCCTTTTCTCCAGAAGGGAGCGGGCCAAACAAGTCTATCGCCAAGACCTCTCCTCTCTGATTAAGAACTGGAGTCTGTAGAAGGCCTGATGGTTTTACGTTTGATGACTTGTACCGCTGGCATGTCGCACAGGACTTTACAAAGTCTGCGACGAAACGTCTCATTCCGGGAAAGAAAAAGGTCTGAGAAAGCTTATGTAAGGTCCTATCAATACCTTGATGCCCAGCAATAGGAGTATCGTGACATTCCTTTACGACCTCCAGACGCAAACTTTCAGGGAGTACGAGCTGTGGCTCCTCCGAGTCTACGTCTGGGTTGTAGCGATAAAGAACTCCTTGCTGC